ATGTTGAGACTAGTATGGCATAATGACAGTATTTCATAATACTTTTATGATTAGAAAATATCTTGGAATACTAAAAATTGAAATATTTAAAGAATTACATTTTTAAAAGGTTGTAAATAGAGCTGTTTCTACTTTGTTTTATCTTTTTAGTTGTAGGTTGTGTTCTGTCTATGTATGTACATCTAGGATAAAGTTAGTTTACAAATAGAGCAATTTCAAATGTTGTTTTGATGTTTTAAGATACACATGGAAAGTAAACATGTAAAAATACACTTTATTTTCTGTTACTAGTCAAATTCATTGTCTTGAATATCAGTGTTGTAAAAAAGTATACCTAGAAGTTATTCTGAATGTATTTAAAAATCTAAATTATTTAAGAAGTGCCATTACCATTTGGACTTTTATCACAATATGAAAAAAACTGAGAGGTTAAAATGTACTCAAATATTAAAGTAGTTATATGAAATCACTGTGCTAATTAACTAGTGATAAATTAAAGTAGTATGTGTATCTTGTGTTATTTTTAATGACATCAAAATGTTGCAACAATTTTTATAAAAGCTTCTTTTTGTGCATAAACTAGTTCATAGTTTTCCTTATTAAACAATTTTCAGAATACATAAGTTAATAAGATCGTATTGTAAGTTAATTGTTTAATGAAGTACTGTAAAAGTATAAAAAAGTAAAGAAAAAATATCACCAATCCACCAGTTTAGTAAAATTAAATTTACCAAAAATTTGGCCTGATGTAAATATAGAATATTATTATTTTACAAATAATTCATCTGTTTTTACAGCTTATTAAACACTGGGAAGCATTTCTTCCTGAAGCCAAAGCCATATCTTGAAGTTCCTGCTCGTTACCAAACAGTCTTAGTCCATTTCTACAAATCAAGCATGATTTGTTTTTCAAACCAAATTTTTTTTCTTCTCTCTCTCTCTCTTTTGCAAATTGATGTACTCTAAAAAATATGAAAAAATTATGGGGTACAGTTATAAGGTAATGAGCTTTCATCAGAGTAATTTTTAAAAAAGCATTAAATGTGCTCTGAACAATTTCTATTCAGATTTATCATGGAAATAAAAATATTTGTTTAGAATACAGCTTTCCAGGTATCAAAGAGTAATTTGTTTATATATGTATGTATAATTATACAAATAATATGAAAAATATATATGATATTCAAAATCTGAAAATGGTGCAAATACTTTATATTAGTATATACATGTATGCATAACTATTTTTAACGAACCAATAAAACTATTCAGGAGTGATGCATTTATATTAATTATTCAAATTTAATGTTGTAAGCTAATTTTCCATAAAATAACTGTATTGCAAATTTTATATATTTTTTCACATGAAGTGGTTTAGGAATCCCACTTTACAAATGGTTGAAATTATGAAACTTAAATCTGTTTCTTTTCAACATTCCATGGTGTTGCTGGTTAACTTTGATTCTTATCTCCGTGTTTTGGGATTTTCTTATTGTGCAAAATTGTTCTTAATGGAAAGAATTTTTTCAGCTGTTAACCTATCTTATCTAATTGAATGGACTCACCATGAACAACAGTTTTTTTTATTATTATTATTAATATTGTTTTGGTAGAAATTTAAAATGTATATTTGTTATTTTTTAAGAATAAGAGAAGTTTTCTGACATATTACCTGCTTTTTGGCTTTATAAATAAACTTATGAGAAATGTGCTGTTTAGTTTAAAATTCTTGACCTTGATTTAATGTTGTGATGGCTACCTTACTGTAAGCACATTTTTTAGGGAGCTTTTTACTGTTAAGGTGGGATGGTATTGTAATGTAAGAAAATTTGAGAATTTTTCAAGTATTGGACTCTTGCTGCTTACCATAAGTCAAGGAGTACAGTTTTTTTATTCAGACAGAAAATATACTTCTTTAAGCATAATTAATGCTAAGCAGTTTTCTTTCTGTTTTTACATAGTTGTTTATAAACCTTAAATATTTTATTGGTTTTCTTTCAGTTGAGTACTCATAAAACAAAAATGCAAAATTAATCATTAACATGTTTCTTGATAAAACATGTTCATTTTGATTTCTGTTAAATATCAGTGATTTTTCTCCTATCGAAGGCTGCAATAAAAATACTTGTATGAATAAATAATAATGTAAAAGTGTTCTATAATAATATAACAACACATGGAGAATGATGTATTGAAAATTCTTGTCATGAGACAACCATTTTTTTTTCTGTGTAATTTTTAGTTAAATGGATTGTTTTACTCTGGTTTCATATTTGGATGTACTGTAGCTAATCATTGGATTCTTCTGATGTTCTTTTTTGGTTCATCAAGTTAGAAGAAAAAATATTATTTCAGTTAAAGAAGCGGATATGACTAATTTATGAAGTGTATAATGATTTATGACTACATTATTGAAGATAGTTATAAAGTTATTCCAACTTCTAATAGTTTAAAGTATTAATGTAATATGATAGTTATCCTTCTTTATTTTTCCAATTTAAAAATTTACACCTGAAAAGCTGAAGAATGTGTCAGTTGTTTATTATTCCACTTTACAGTTAGTAATGCTGATTGAAATTTGGACTAATGTACAATTTCAGTTAAACAGGAAATGATATGCTTATTTTTGTTTTGTTGATTAAATATATTGCTTAACATGCAACATAAGTATGCAACTGATTTCTGTAATCAGTTTACAGTGAAAAATTTCACAACATTAGTAATACTGTTTAGAATTGGTAAACATCATGTAAGAATTTATACTTGCTCATGAATTAAATAATTAGAAGTTCTGGAATGTTTTATTCTTAACAGAGGATAGAATTAGTGATTGTATTATAAGTGTCAAAGTTCTGAGTACTGTGCCTTAATTCATGTGGTATATAACCTTTTTCTGTTTAATTATGTTTATGAAATAAGAAACAGTATGGAAGTATTATTACACCACATTTGCTTGGCTAACAATTAAAGTTGGAAAATTTATGTATATTAAATAGTAACAGGTGCATTTGTTCATGTAATTTCCTTTTATGGGAGATATATATATATATATATATATACCTGGATATAAATATTTGTTCATTTGAAAGTCAAATAACTATGTATTATTGGAGTTTATGCTCTCAGTCCAACATTATTTACATATGTTATAAGTTATCAATAATGATAAGTCTCATTTGTGGCCAGTTTTGGCCATAATCTTTTTAAAAAGGTTTGCTCTTGCTATGTTTTTTTCAATCAAGGTGTAAGTCTGGTTATAATGAGAAACAGGTTGTTTTCTTGGGAGTGTAAATTATGCAAGCAGTTAATTAAAAAAAACAACATAAAAACTAGTCCAATTTTCTGTGTTTGATACCATGAATAGGGTGTGTATTTAAGTGGTAATATTACTAAACATAATTATGAAATGCTTTGGAAAAATGGTATACTTCTACATATAAGTTCATAAAACTTCCAAATGTTATAGTTTTCTTTTCACAGTTTCTTTTCTGTTTCAATAACAAAGTTTAATCGTTACATAAGATACTTACTTATAACAGTGTTAAAAAAAAAAACTTGTTAAAACATTTCTCATGGAGACAGAAGTTTTATATTTCATTTACTGTTCATCTCACACAAATACACCAAAAAATATAGTTAACATTATTATAATGAAAATTCGTTTGTCTGACTAATGCCACTTGCAGAACTGCAGGTTTTAAAATGTCTCGTAGGCCCATCTCATAGTTGAAGGTGAAAGTAACCGATGTTGATGAAAACTGTCAGGTCAAGTGTGAAAAAAATGGCCAGTGAAAGAATTGGTGTATTTAGTGTATTTTATTAACTTATTTCGGTAACAACAATTCTTGTATTAAAACACACATTTTTAATTTTATAACAAGGGTATTTCTTACTCCTAAGTCATTCATCAAATAACAAAAAAATTGCAACTGTAATTGAAATTGAACCTTGTCATCTGTAATTCTTATATTCATAAACTTTGTTTAATTAGACTTAATTACATTGTACTTAAGTACATTGTAGTTAAAGTTACACCTTTTAAAAATGCTATTCAAGAGTGGACTGACAATTTTCAGGAACGTATCCCCCATAACACATCTAAAGATTGTGTTGTTTAACTTCGTTTCAGACATACATCCCACTTTCCAGGAACGCATCACGACGTACAACAGGGTCCTCCTGTACGTTCCTGGACAAGTCTGTGTGTTTCTCTCACGTTTTTGTCTTTTAAAAGTATTGTACAAGTGTATTGCCCTTTTTATTCAGAAAAAATGTTCCTAAAGTAAATGGTGTTTATGTATGGTAATAACTAAGTAATACTGATATAATAACAAATGCTAAACCAAGTAAATGACAAAATCTTGCAAACTTGCATGGTTTAACGGCAGTTCACCCAGCCTTAAAACGTATTGATCCCTCATGATCTTGTCCGACGGAGAATCTACCTATTTTTACAGTTTTCTCATACAAGACCATACCCAATGAGATAACAGTTTTGTGATTTTCACCAACTACTGCAACATTTACCTGTTGGGCATTCTATAATACTCTCAACAATTTCACTTTCTGTGACAGATGTCTTTGTTGATGACCTGGTAACCATCCACCCTAGATCTCCATATCTTTTTTCTTTTCAATACTACAGGTTTTGAATTCTGTAATTCCCACATTTTTCATAGTTTTGCACATAGTTCCTTCCACATGTGTAGTGTGAGGTGTCATTCTATTCTCTCCTCGAGCTTCAAAGACTGACACACATTTTCCGGCATCACCTTCTGATCTTTGCTATATTTCTGTGTAGTGGCATGTAAAGTATTTTGCCATCAGGAGTTTCCTCACTGAAATCTGTTTTGTCAATGGCAAAGAACACAAAAGAATGTAGGTATGTAGACACCATCTGCTACCTGCATGTTAGCAATGGCCATCTCCAACAACAGTGTTTTCGTACAATTGACATAAATAACCATAAGAGAAGAGTAACTGTACAAGATCCTCGTTCCTTGTGTCATGGTGAACTGTTAATCTCATGTCAATCACAATAGCATTTTCTGTTACTTTGTCACATCAGTTTTGAGGTTATGACTCACTTGCCTATAAGATTGCTTGGCATACATTATATCAAGGCTTAATATGGTAGCTATGCATTCAGCATTCGTGGTGCAAGTTTTTGAATAAACATTCAAGATAGGTTCAGAAATGGTCCATCTGAGAAGAGTGCAGCAATGCTTGCATATTCTTTTCATCAGTAATGAAGTGAAGACTTATTTTATAGGTCTTTTTATAGAGGAAAGTTTTATCTTACTTCTCATTTGATATACACATCTGTAGTCCTGTTCTACATCACTTGATTGCACTTGTCTAATAGTTACCATGAGATTTGCCTTTTTTTTTTTTACAGACTTAAGATGAATACAGAAGTGATGGTTTATTCACTTGAGTCTTTCAGACATCCCAGAGAAGTAACATTGTTGCAGGATGTGACACTTTAGTCGTTTTCGACTGTATGGCAGCATATGCTGATATTTTGCATCATCAAGGAGACTGGTGTGTATTTCTTCAGTGTTCTACACGTATAGATAGGCCTTGTTTGAAGTTTGGGAGTTAATCATGTGTAATAGTTCAATCATAGCTCTCATTTGATTGGGATATGTTTGCGGGCATCTTCTGCACTTGTAGTGGATGCAGAAGACCTCTGGAAATTAGTGACTCAACCTTTTCTATGGTGCTTCACACCAGTTGCATGGGCATCACCGGCGTCAATAACTGTATTCAGTCAGACAAGGAAGTCTAGTTTGTTTTTATTATTTTCTTCCACAGCTGTTCTTGAAGTCTGTCCAGCATTATCTGACCTCAAAATAGAGTTGCCGACCTTCATACTTTTGACAAAAGAAGCATTTGGAGGATCATATGGCTTTGTAATGGATCTTACGAAGGTCTGATGCTAAAAATCACTTGATGATGGTGTCATACCAAATGAAGAAGGTATTTCTTTTCATTTGGGGATGAATGCTGCATCCTTCATAGATTTTGCATGGCACTGCTCTGCTCATTCTATGTTCTATTTTTTGCGATTTAGTAACATCAGCTTAGCATTTGTGGTGCCACATTCCCTTTTTGTCCATTAGACCTAGACTGTATTTCTCCTGAAGGCTTTGTGATACAACTATATACGCAGCATCTTGTAATTTTTCTTTTTTATGGAATCATTGTGCAAGGTGTTCATACGAGTCCTCCTTCAGTTGTAAAACCAGAGGGCGTTGTTGTGGATTTTCCTGATACATCAAGCATAGCATGAAGTCTACGATACCCTTTTTTTTTTTCGTAAGAGTCGGCTGTAAGGGCGACCATGTTCGGCGAAAGGGACTCGGACCCTCAACCCGCAGATTGCGAGTCAAGAGCCCCAACCACTAGACCATTAACATATATGGAAGTACTGCAATGACAAACGTATAAATTTTTAGTTTTAAGTAACTAGTATCTTCAAAGAACATTTGTTTGCATACTGTACGTTAGTGAAACTGGTAGATTTCAAATTATTTCCAATAAACATTTCAACACTTATTTGAAACTTTTTTATCTTAACATTTTCAAGGACTTATCTAGAAAAAGTTGATATATTGTGAAAGCTTTAAGTAAAAAATAAAATGTTTGAAAAGCGAAACAATATATTTACGATTTTAAATGAAATAGTCATGTTACTTTTCTTCTTAAAAATGAAAAGCATTTCAGTTTTGTGTTTGATGACATTTGTTGTAAAATTTATTTTGTTTACCTCGACTGTGAAGCAGGAACGTCATTTCACAAAAGTCTTGGAGGGGGCAAAGAAGGCTGACCTCACACGGGCCTCCTAATTCAGTTGGGAGCCCTATATATGGGCTGACTAAAAGTGTCTCACAGAATTTGCCATTTGTGGCCCCTCTCTAAGGAAATCAGCCGCAGTCGCCCCCCCCCCCAAAAAAAAGTTATGCCTCTACTGTAAAGTTATCAGTGATGACGATTTATTTTTGAACTTGCTTAACATGTAATCCAACTTTAAATATCAAATATTGTGTGGAATAAATAATTATTACTTATAAGATTGTTAAACTGATCGAAAGGAGGCTGTTTAGCCCAGACTTTGACCAAATTTTCCCAGTTTTAGTTAGTTTCTTTTAACCGTTTCCAGATTTTGAATGTACGCATGCATAATGAAAGAGAAGTGTGCATTCTTAGAATTAGTAGGGACGAAAAGGGCAAAACATAGTTGCCAGTGCACAGATGGTGTTTTAAGGAAACTGACCTATCAAGTTCAGTGTTCATAGTATAGTATCGAACTCTGTGATATGGATATTAATAAGTAATACGCCGGGATTGCGTGGCTGTAAGTACACAAATACTTGTATTGGTATCTAATCACGCAGAAGTAAATATATGTATATATGAGACGAAACGTAGAGGATATAAAGTGGCCCTGTGTTAAAGCAAGGAAGTTTAAACTATGATAGATGAACCTTACGTATTTAACTGAATGACATTGTGGTTTTTAAATCCATTTCGAAAAAAAGCACGTAACAACTTCAAGCCTATACACTGAGTGGTCACAAGTAAATAGACACCTAATTTTTCGTCATTTAACTGATTTATGCTAACTAATTTTTGTTCACAGAGCACTATATAAATGAAAGTGGTCCGCACACTAATTATCTTGTGCTACAACATGCCAAGAACTCAA